ATGCTGGATGATGTCAGTAGGAGCAAGGCCTCTTGTATGTTAGCTGTCATCTTTATCAAAGGGCATAGAATCAGAGGGGCTGTCATATGAGAGGATGGTCAGCAGGTACCATTTGGAGAGCCAGGCAGCATTTCCTGCCTTTAACTTTTCCTGATGAAAATAGAGAATCGTATAGCCCCATTCACCAAGAAGCCAAGCACTGAGCTACAATGGCACAACGGAGATAATAACATGAGTTTTTGTTGAGTTATTGCAACATATATCTCTTTATCTTGTTACCCCTTCTCAGCTCCTTCAGGGCTCTTATTCTACTCCCCTGTGTCTGCTCCAGATGCATTAGATGGCCCCATACTTCCCTGTACATATCTGTACCGCTACTCTCACCAAGTCACATGTTAATTATCTTTTGGGGTATCTGTCTCTAACACAAGACTGTCAGCTACCATGATAGAGAAATAAAGAGGATCTATGGGAACACAGCTGGGAGAAGAGCTTAGTTTTCTCAAAGAGTTCAAATACCTATAGGAAAGAAGCAGAACCAGACATATGAGTAGTGTTTCGCTATGGGAAGGCAGGAGTAAAGGGCATTCCAGGTAGATTAAAGGCACGGTGTGTTTGTCAGTCCATTAACTACTGTTTGGGAGGTCCTATCACTCAACACCACATGCTAAGAGTAGGGAGTAGGTTGATTTGGCTGGAATGTGGAGCAGGTGGGGCAGGAGGTAATTGGGGTGAGGTTGGGGATGTGAGCTGTACCATGGATAAAGAATCTTCTGGAACTGGCTAAAGAGCTTGCTCTTTATCCTGGAGGCTAAGAGAGGCCTCTGGAGGGTGTAAGCAGGTAAGTGTTGGAGTCAAACTTGGTTCTAAATGAGGAAGATCTCTTGAACAGATATGGAGTGATTCATAGGATACATGGTTAAGTGGAAAACAAAACAAAACAATGCGTGAAAGACAATCCACAGATGGATAGGTAGGTAGGTAGATAGATAGATAGATAGATAGATAGATGATAGATACCCAGAGGTGAGATGTGTGTGTATACATGCATGTATTTCCTAACTCTGTCCCTTTCATGGGCTAAAACCAATGCCACCCCAGTAGCAATGAGCACAACTAGTGCTCACACCTTGGTTTCAAATATGATTCTCCACTAAAAGAAATCAGGGTTTTGGAGAAATGGCTAATTTCAGGACTAGGACTGAGGAAGGACAAGATAAGCCTGAAACATTTTGTAGTCCCAGGAAATAAAGATGTGCTCACAGAATGATAGGTCTATGTCTAAAGAACAAAGAACCATGTCAAACGAGCTTTCACTGACCAAATCTGGGGCAATTCAAGAATCAAAACAAATAATGATAGCAATGAATTATAACCCATTGAATAAAATAAGAATCCATTAATATAAGTAAATATATAAAATCTAAATACAATATACATTTATACATATTTATATACTATTTATATTCTTATATATTATGTTTATCCTATATAATAAAAGGCTAATTTGCAAATCAACCGAATGGCAGAATGACCAGTCGATATGATGCACACTGACCACCAGAGGGGCAGAAGCTTAATGCAGGAGCTGCCCCCTGGTGGTCAGTGTGCTCCCACAGGGGAAGCGCCGCTCAGCCAGAAGCCAGGCTCATGGCTGGCGAGCGCAGCGGTGGTGGGAGCCTCTCCCACCTCCACAGCAGCGCTAAGGATGTCCGACTGTGCTCCCCGCAGAGAGCAGGCCTAAGCTATCAGTCAGACATCCCCTGGGGGCTCCCAGACTGCAAGAGGGCACAGGCCGGGCTAAGCAGCCCCCCTGAGTGCATGAATTTAGTGCACTTTAGTATTTAATATTTCTTTATACAATATGTAATATTTATAGTATAAATTAAAATGTATAAATAAACTGATATAAAGAAGTAATGGAGAAAACTCTTCCTCAGTAGAATCCCAACTAATAAATAAAAAAGGAACAATGGGATTAGAAATTCACTATCATAGTAATAATTAATTCTGTCAAAAATCATCAGTGAATGCTAAACTAGTGGATAAAAGTTTGATGAGTAATTACAAAATTACAACAACCTGGAGCAGGATAAAATCAAGTACATAAAGACTTTGTACCCAATTGCACTCACCTGGTTGTTTAAGTCATATTGCTGTGTTGTATTTGCAATAGGATGATAGCAAAGATTATTTATTGAGTGCCCATAATATGATAGGCATTGTGCTAGGTAGGGTTTGGGGGGTAGATTTTTTGCATATATTACCTGAGTTAACAACCATAACACTAACTCAGTGAAGTTTTTAATTAGTATTCCCATTTTTAAGATAAAGAAACCAAGGGTCAAGAAACAAAAAATTTGTCTAATGTTAAATAGTTATAAGAGTCATGGCCAGGATTCAGATCTCCTGCCTTCTGATTTTGAGTTTCATGTAGTTCTCTCATACAGTGTGTCTCTGGGCCCTCTTAGAGCGCTATGCTTCTAAAAGTATGCAGAATATATATCAGAGAAGCATTCTTACACAAAAGCATTAGGCTTCCTACTTTCTCCTCACCATATCCACTAAACGCCTTGCCTCATCTTCCCCATCTAAAAGGGAGGAGGCATAGCTTCTTTTACATGGTTGTTGTGAGGACTATATTAGATAATAGATGTAAAGCATAGAGCACAGTGAGAAATAAGTGTTCAGCAGCAGTGGTAATACCAGTTGTAATGTTAAATTCCCTGGTATGATAGAAAATGTTTTTAAAGGTTACTCCTCAATTTTGGACTGAAATGAAAATCAGAGGCCAGATCATAAAGAGCTTTGTGTATCATGTAAAGGAGATTATATCCAATTCTATAGGCAATAGAAACCACTGAAGAATTTTATTACTGAAAGAGATATGATATGGTTGGTAATTTAGAGCCAACCAAGGGGAGGAGAGCAAGGCAGGGAGAGCAGCAGGATGCTGTTGTCAGAATCCAGGCGAGAGAAGACGAGGGTCTGAGTCAATGGACGGGCTGGTGTGATGTAAAGGAGGGAACTCAGAGTGGACAGTCACTCTCTGGGACTGGTGCCCAGAGATGGCAGGAAAGGAAGGGGAAGGTGCTCAGGCTGAGTATTGGTTCCTCTCAGGGCACAACCAGAATGCAGAGGAGAGGCACGTGTGGGGCATGGGAAAGGGCCAATTTGGAATGGCTTGGGATATAGAGGGGAGTCCCAGTGACAGCTGGATATTCGGATCAGAGTGAGGAGAGAGTGCAGGTCAGAGCAGCATGCCTGGGAGTCACTGAATCTGTGGAGGAGGATGAGAGCCCTAAGGGGAGGGATGTAGAATGAGGAGAGGGCTCGGGACGAGATTCTGGAAACTCCGATATATAATGATGGCAAAAGGAGAGGCAGAGGAGACTGAGGAGGAACATTCATAAAGATAAAAGAAGCTCAAGGTGGTTGTTTTGAGCCATGGCAAGGTCTGCAGAGAGAGCAAATGAAGTAAGGAAGGCCTGCAACGTGCCTGTTGGATTTGGCAATGAGGTTACTGGGGACGTTGGCAAGAGCAGGTGCCAAGGAGGAATCCATTTGGCTGGTAGATTCAGGAGAGAATTGGACTTTTTAATGAGAGAAACTAGAACTTGGATGCAGGCTTCTCACTGCCTGGTCATGCATTCCCACCTACTGTTGGAGAGCTCTGATTGATGGAAGGTCTTTTTACAGAGCCCAAATCTCCCTCCAGCTCTAGTTTAGCCTTCCAGGTCCACTCTTCCAGAGAACTGTACAAATCTGTCTCCTCATTGGGTGGCTTCCTCCAGCTCCTCTGCCATTTCTCATGTGCCTTAGGCTTCCCAGATCTGCCTTGAAGTCTGATTCTCCACGATGGATCCTGTTTTGTTGAAACTGGGCTCATTCTTTGGTAACACTGGTCTTTATTTCTCCTCCTATTAGGTTGGTTGGTGGCTTTCCAACATTTTTTGAACCTCAACTGCGAATAAGAAGTACATTTTACATTATGATCATTGTACACATGTATATATATAACTGAAAGGAGATGTACTCTTTTTGTTTGTTTTTTGTTAATCTTCACCTGAGGGTATTTTCCTCTGTTGATATTTTCCCCTGTTGACAGAGTGAAAGGGAGAAGGAGAAGGAGAGAGAGCGAAACATTAATTGGTTATCTCCCCGACATGCACCCTGACCCAGGACTGGGGATCAAACCTGCAACCCAGGTCCATGTCCTTGACCAAGAATCTAACCAGCCAGGGCAGGAGATGTAGTCTTATTTTCAATTCCATTTCATTTCATTCCATTCCATTCTCTGCTATTCTATGTTATTAAGTGCTAGTCTTGGCCCACCACATTCATTTCACAACCCACTACACTGATTTAATGACTGATGGTGGGAGCCAGGGTGCTAGGAGAGGCTCAGAGAATAAGATGTTAACGTGTTTGTCAGACTCCATCTCCCTCTCCTCCTTCAGGATCTTCTGCACTGGGCTTACAGGCCTGCCCTCTAATCACTTCTTTTATGGTTCTGAGAGGAAAGAGAGCTGCTTCAGTCACTAGGATGTAAACCAGGCTTGGGGAGTATTTGCATTTCCAGAGTGACTCATCAGAGGAAGGTGGGCAGCTCTAAGGTGGGATTTAGAGTCAATGGAGAGAATGGCTCACCTTTCAAATCACCCCACAGAGGCTACTGTCCTTGTACTTACATGAGGCATCCAGCAGCCTGAGGCATTTACAACCTCCTTTCATAGGAGACATTTAAAATTTCTCCAAGTTTAAAAGTATGGCTACCTATTCCTACAGGCCACCTATTCCCACCTGTCAGACACCTGTCTGGGGTTGTGCCGTCTTGTCTCCATGACCTCCTCAGGCTTCCCTGAGGAAACATCCTTCCCCTGAGAACCATCCCATCCTAAAGTCTTCCAGCAAAGGAAATTTGGGGATTTTTAAATAAGTAAAGATGCCTTATGTGTTCCAGCGCTCTCATTCATAATGCCTTTTCTACTTCTGCCCAGGGAGAGCAAGGGTTTCTGGATTTACCTTGACTGCAGATAGAAGGATGTTCCCTGAGGAATAGCAGAGGTCTTTGCTCATCTGCTGGAAGGTACCTGCTGCTGCCATAGACACTTTGGTCCTTGAGAAATCTCCTGGAGGGCTTGTCCATCGCATACCTGCAATGAGCCAGGCCCTGGGCTGGGCCTCGGCTTCACCCTGGTGAACAAAACTCCATCCCCGGCCTCAAGCGCTCATACCCAACTTAAAGATGAGTGAAGAACGCTGGGTCTCCCTCACTTCAGAAGAATTTGACCAACTCCAGAAATATTCAGAATGTGAGTAAATGGATTGAGCCATCTGGGGTGGGACTTCCTCTGGATTGGGGAGAACACTTCTGGAGGGCAGAGCAGAAAGTCACAGAGAATGAAGTCAAACCTGACAGCTTATATTTTCTTATAAGCATACAATTAGTGTCTTAAAAATAAATAAAACAATTATATTTACACTCTGTAAATGATATGTGCTCAGCATAGAAATTTAGAATATGCAGGAGAAAAAAAAATAAAGACTAGGTTAAAAAAAATCACAGCTAAACTCGATGACCATTTTGGACATACTCCTTCTGTGTTCATTGCTCTACATGGTGAGTTCCTGAATATATCTTTATTTCAGCCTGCAATTTCCACCTAAAATAATATCGTTAAGTATTTCCTCAGATCATTGAAACCTCTTCATAACATAATTTTGAAGGGCTGTAGGCTGTATGGTTACAATGTTAATCATGTGCTCTAATATACTTGTGTTTGGACTCAATTTTTCCCCCCCAGTAAGATACAGGATTCTGATGCATGTCTTTTTCTTAACTTTGTTCTGGAAAAGCCTGGACTTTCCAGTGGGGCTCTTGGTTGCAGTAGTTGTACCCAGGAACAATTCCTGTGCAGCAAAACACAGTGGTGGCTACACCCACATTCACACTCGGCACACAGCTGTGCCCCACACCTCCCAGGCCTCTGCCAATCCTGACTAGTGACAAGAATCTCCCCAGACTGTGGCAGAACTCCAGCTGACCATTGCACTCTGCACACGTGATGGCCATTATGATTACCACCCTTGATATCATGTGGCACCCATGTTCCACTCATAGTCTTACAGAGCTTTTACCTGCACTGCAGGCCCCACCCCTTTGTACTAATCACCTCTCCTTCATGTTCATTGTACTGATGCTTTTGTGAATCACTAGGCCTGTAGCATGTTGACCTGCCCTACAGATCTTACCCTGGTCATCTTACAAATGCCCCTTTGTCAGTCTTCCCCTCTCCCCCAGGATTGACAGCCCTGTCCACAGCACTAGTCTGGGAGTCAGAAGGTCAGGCTCAGTGCCAGCGCTGGCTCTTGCTGTCTTGTCATCCTGTTGTGCAAAATGAGAGGGTTGGACTAGATGGTCTTCCTGTGGTTCCCCCACCTGTACCTAACACCCCATATGCTCCCAAGGTCAATAGAAGTTCTCTCTCCCGGTACCCTGGAGCCCATGGCCTCTTATCTGACCTCAGTGGGTTTAGAGAAACTATGTAATGTAGAGACAAAGAGCAAGGCATTGCCCTCCAGGGTAAACTCCATTCAATTCAGTCTGCTCTGTACCAGGCTCTGTACCAGGCCCAGGCAGCAAAGTGCCAGGTCCTGTCAGGATAAAAAAGAAGCACAAAGGGAAGGCTTTTCCTTGAGGAATGAAACTTCAGTCTGCAGGCCGACGCTCTATCCACTGAGCCAAACCACTCAGGGCAAGGAATGAAACTAAAGGAAGCCAGCAAACATACCTGTGAATCTGTGGGAAATGGCAACATAAGGATGCAGGGCTGGTGGGGTGGGGTGGGAATGTTGATTTTAAGATGACGATGACACATGTACTTCTGCATTTGTATGTGCCAGGCTCCAGGGAGCCAGCAATGAATGAGACACAATCCTGCTGTAAAGAGCTCCCAGACCAGTGGGGGAAGACAGACAGGACTTAAACAATGATGTTCAGTATGACAGGTACCAGTGAGTGGGGAGCACAAAGGAGGAGACCTAGTTCAGCCTGTGGGGGAGGCTTTCAGACTCCAGAAACACTACTAGGAAGGAGGACGGGGAGGACATTCCAGGCAGAGGACGTGACTTGGACAAGACAGGGGGTAAGACAGGTAGCTTTCACGAACTGCTAAATAAATAAATAAATAAATAAATAAATAAATAAATAAATAAAAAAGCTGCAAGCAATTGCCAGGCTGGGAACTTTGAGTTTATGTTGGTGGGTGGTGTGGGGGAAGTTGGGCAAGAAGTGGAAAAGTAAATAGGATTCCATCCTGGGGGTTGCAGCTTTTTAAGTGGGACATCCTGTGGGCCCCAGGAAGGTAGGTGGTGGGTTTGGGTGGAAATGAGGGTTAGGCTATAGCTCTGACTTGGGAATCCTTGTGTAGAGACAGCAGGAAAGAAAAAAATAGGAGTGAAGTACCTTCAGAGAGTAAGAATGTGAGGAAAGAAATGAGAGGATGGATATTGGGACATAGTGCATGCCTACCACTGGGGGTCAAAAAAGGAAAAAGAGTTTGTAGGAGACACACAGAGAAAACCCAGCAAGACAAACTAGTGAACGAACAGTACTGGTTGAGGCAGCTAAGGGATAAAGGGGGTCCAAAGCTGACAAAGCCATCCAAGAGGCAGGGGGTGCAAAGAGATCAGAGTATCTGGTAGGATCTGGCTCCTTTGTGGTTCTGGTCTTTCAACCATCAAGCTTTGCCTTTCTCAGACCCTTCCTCATTTTGTCCTAGAACTGGGTGAGGTGCTCTGGCACCATTGTTCTAACAGGAGATGGGAAAAAAATAGATTTAGTTCTTGGAAAATGATTAATCCTCAGAGGAAACCCTGAAAAAGGCACTTGTACCAATTTTAGACACATTCTGGTATTCAGTCAGATTGCATTGCCATAGCAACAGCTCTTCCATAGCCACTTACACAGGAGCTTTACAATAGCAGAGTAACTGAAGTGGACAGCCTGAGAATTGGTAACTTTTCCCAGTGGGGTTTCCAGGTGGGAGAGCCCAAGAATTTGAAGGCAAGATGCCTTGGTGTGTTCTGTTTATGTAGCATAAACCCTGTACCTTCTTTAGTGGCCTTTTATCACAGGAGAAGCCATGTTAAAACTGCCCTTAGAAACATATGTATTTATTTGATACTTGAGGCCCAGTGCACAAAATTTGTGCACAGGGTGTGTGTGTCCCTCAGCCCAGCCTGCACCCTCTCCAATCTGGGACCCCTCAAGGGATGTTCAACTGCCCAGTGGGATCGGGCCTAAACGGACAATCAGACATTCCTCTCACAATCCAGGACTGCTGGCTCCCAACCGCTTGCCTGTCTGCCTGCCTGATCACCCTCTAACCACTCCCCTGACAGCCTTATCGATGCCTAACTGCTCCCCTGCCAGCCCGATTGCCCCTAACTTCCCTCCCCTGCAGGGCTGGTTGCCCCCAACTGCCCTCCCCTTCTGGCCTGATAGCCCACAACTGCCCTCCTCTGCCAGCCCTCTTGTGTCCACATGGGGGCAGCCATCTTGTGTGTTGGAGTGATGGTCAATTTGCATATTACCTCTTTATTATATAGAATGTTTAATTACATATGTATACACATATATATGTATACCCATACATATACTTGGCAGGAAGCTTAATGTGAATCAGTAGTGTAAAATACTTGTCAAAAAAGATAATGTGATATTAAGACATTTTTTTGTTACAAAATAAAAACAAGTGCAAAATTTGAAAAACCAGAAGGTGAAATTAAAAGGTACTCATAATCCCATTTCCCAGTGGTAACCACTAATATTATATTAAAAATGCCCAGCTGGCATGACTCAGTGGTTGAGTGTCAACCTATGAACCAGGAGGTCACGGTTCAATTCCTGATCAGGGCACATGCCTGGGTTGCAGGCTCCATCCCAGTGTATAGACCTGCAGGAGGCAACCGATCAATGATACTCTCTCATCATTGATGTTTCTTTCTCTCCCTCTCCCTTCCTCTCTAAAATCAATAAAAATATATTTTTGAAAAGTATATACAGGGTGTCTCAAAAAATGTATACACATTTAACAGCTGATAGCTCAATTTTGAAAATGAAATGTATTTTAATAAACGCTGCCTTTATAATTATTCAAATTGTGATATATACATTTTGGGGGGGCATCCTATATGTTAGGCCAGTGGTCGTCAAACCATGAGGACATTTTTAGCAAAGGTCAGCTTAGGAGTACCCTAATTAAGTTAATAACAATGTACCTACCTCTATAGTTTAAGTTTAAAAAATTTGGCTCTCAAAAGAAATTTCAATCGTTGTACTGTTGATATTTGACTCTGTTGACTAATGAGTTTGCCAACCACTGTGTTAGGCTATTTGTATGCTGTTTTCTTCACCCTAACAATATGTTTAAAGTATCTATTGATGCATCAAAACAACTTCAAAACTTGGTGGGTGAAAGCAACTGTTTTGTTTTTCCCCATGATTCTGTGACTCAGGAGTCTGCACAGGACACAGCAGGGATGACTAGTCCCTGCTCCACACTGTTTGGGGCTTTGGGTGGGATGCCTCATATGATCCAGCATGGCTGATTCCTCACATCCTGGTGCCTCGGTGATCCGCCAAGGGGCTTCTTTCTGTAAGCACTTTCTTATCTCCCAGGACCTCTCCGTGTTGGCCTCTCTTCCTAGCAGGGGACCCTGGACTTTTTACACGTGGCTTGGGCTCCAAGAACATAAAAGCAGCTGCTGCCAGGCCTTTTTGACACCTGGGCTTAGAGGGACATGCATGGAAATGAGGGTTAAGCTATAGCTCTGACTTGGGAATACTTGTGTAGGGACAGGAGGAAAGAAAAAAATAGAAATGAAGGCCCTTCAGAGAGCAAGAATGTGAGGAGAGAAAGGAACTCTCTCCACATTCCATTGGTCAAAGCAGTCCCAGGCCTGGCCCAGATTCAATGCCATAAAGGAATGGACTCCACATCCCCTGAGAGAGTGACTCACACAGGGAGGGGAAGATTGATGACAGCCATCTTCAGAGACCAGCTAGCACCCAATATAATGCATCATGTGTTCTTGTATCATGCAGCACTTTTCAAAAGCTTGGTTTTTAGTGGTTGCAGAGATTTCTTTTGAATACATATACATTATTTTATTTAACCAAACCACTGACTGTGATCTTAGAATCCTATATAATAAAAGGCTAATATACAATTTGTCCCCTCAACTGGGAGTTCAACCTGGAGTTCGACCAGGGGGCAGGACCAGCCTGACAACTGCCCGAGGCCCCTCC